CTTTGTTTCCCGACCCTGCTGCATACTTCCTGCAGCTGCCGCCAGGGTGTAGCGCAGAGGCAGAGAGCAGCAGGAGTGGCTAGTCAGGGCCCTGAATCCTCTGGTCAGAGAGTCAAACTCCCCTCCCCAGGTTTCAGGTGCCTGCCTGGCTGCTGTCACTACACCACTTTCATGTTATTGCCCAGGAGTTGGGTGGGGAAGAAAGGAAAAAATGGGAGGATTCCCTTAGCTCTGACTTGTAGGAGTTTTGTTTCCTGCTCCTTGGACAGAGAGATTCTCCTGGAGCCCTTTTGTCTACACTGGGTGCACTTCCAGGTTTCAAGCTGCTTTAATGTCCAGGCTGGGCAACATTGGAAGGAAAAAATGATAACCACGCCACTGTTCGGTAGAACTTTGAGTCTGGCCTCCTTTTCTCATCCACGTGCTGCTGCTTTTCACGACCCCCAGGGCTGCCCATGTCTTTCTGAGACTGATGGTCATGGCCGGTGGGAGGGATGGGTAGACGGTGCTCCCCCACCTCCCAGGACCATCCTGTGACACACGGCTCCCCACCCACTGGGCCGCATTCCTGGTGGAGGCCCCGAGGGCAGTCCCGAGTTTCCCACTGCTGTGCCCCAATGCTGGAAAGCCCTGGCACACTGGAGAGGCCCCGCAAATGCCTGTCACGTGAATCAAAGAGGAGGCAAGCCAGAGCCCAGGCTCAGAAGCCCTAAACTCTCCTCTGGGCTCCCCCAGCCCCCACAGGCAGCAAGTGACTTTAAAGTGCGACCATGCTCCAAACTGCAGTGATTCCCTCTATGGGGGGACACAAAGCCCACCTCTGCACTATGTCCACACTGCTGCCCCAGCCTGTTTGCTGCTCTATGGGGATCTGGTCTTTGCTGGCTCCTCTGCCTGGAATGCTCTCTCCATACGACTCAACATAGCTGAGTCCTTTGCATTCTGCTGTTTCCACTTAAATATCACCTCAGAGGGTTGTCCCTATCCTCAAGCCCTGCACCCCACCCACACACCCCTGAAAGTGCCACCGGGCCGGCCCAGAAGTGGACAATATCTTGACAAAGGGACCCCAGAGCAGAGAAGGGGCCCCGTAACTTTCCTGGTTGTCCTGGAAACCCACCTGCCCATGCTGCTGCCTGTTACCCTCTCCTCTCCTGCAAGCCTGGACCTTTTTCCCCAGAGCTGCACCCTGCACCTGCTCCCCTGGCTCTGTCCATTGGTGGGCCCCTCTTAGCTTGGCCCCCAGGTTGCCAGCTCCTTCAGGGATCAGTCTGTGGGCAGGGCTGGACAGAGAGAGGGCCTGCCATGGAGCCAGGGAGGGGTCAGGACACCTGAGGAAGGTTTCCACCAGTACACAGCTCTCCACACCAGGATAAGCAGAGCAAAACCACAGGGGTAACCTCTTGGCAACTCATGTATACATACGCATGTACCCCCAGGGGGGCAGTTTCCTTATGGAGATGTAGACTTGTCCACAGTTGTGTTATGAGTGACTAGGAGGAAGGGGGTGGAATCTTTCTGTGTGCCCCTTCCTGAGCAGGAAAGGGTGATTGGGCCACTGAGTCCTAACCTCAAGGAGTCTCCCCTAGGGAATTTCTGCAGTCCCCCCTCCCCCAGGCCCTGACGCCTGCCCTTCGTGCCCAGCCGTACTTGGCAGCCCCACCAGCTCAGGCTCTGGGTGCCAGCTGGTGTGGACCTGTCACTCAAGCCCAGGCGGGGACGGCTGGTTGTGGGGGCTATTTAAGTCCAACTCCCTGGTCTGCCCCTCCCAGCAGCTCTGCTACTGGCCACCTGCTGCTGCCTGTTGTGCCTGGAATGCTGATTGGCAGTTGGCTGGGGTGGGGGCTGGGGATGCTGTTATAAAACTGGGGTGATCGGGAGGCAGCCATCCCATCCAGAGCCCCCGTGTCCCGCTGCTGTCATGGCCTCCCACCGCCTAGTGATGGTCCGGCATGGCGAGAGCACGTGGAACCAGGAGAACCGTTTCTGCGGCTGGTTTGATGCAGAGCTGAGTGAGAAGGGGGCCGAGGAGGCCAAGCGGGGAGCCCAGGCCATCAGGGACGCCAAGATGGAGTTTGACATCTGCTACACGTCGGTGCTGAAGCGGGCCATCCGCACCCTCTGGACCATCCTGGATGGCACGGACCAGATGTGGCTGCCCGTGGTGCGTACCTGGCGCCTCAATGAGCGGCACTACGGGGGCCTAACGGGCCTCAACAAGGCAGAGACAGCCGCCAAACATGGCGAGGAGCAGGTGAAGATCTGGAGACGCTCCTTTGACATCCCGCCGCCCCCCATGGATGAGAAGCACCCCTACTATAGCTCCATCAGCAAGGTGGGCCGCCACAGGGAAGGCCTCCAGGAGGCTGTGGGGACGGGAGCCCAGGTGGGGGGCCAGCTGCCTAAGGAGGGAACAGCACTGTCCCTATGTCCCCCAGGAGCGTCGCTACGCAGGCCTGAAGCCGGGGGAACTGCCCACTTGCGAGAGCCTCAAGGACACCATCGCCAGGGCCCTGCCCTTCTGGAATGAGGACATCGCCCCCCAGATCAAGGCCGGCAAAAGAGTGCTCATCGCAGCCCATGGGAACAGCCTGCGGGGCATCGTCAAGCATCTGGAAGGTGAGGCCCACCCTCAGGAGGGTGTGAGAGGGCAGTGGGGGCCATGGCCCAACTTCTTATTTTCAGCCAAGTACCCACTCCCTGGTTGAGGGAGCTTTGCAGACGTGGGTTTTCAAACTGTGGATTGAAATGGGAGGGCTGAGAAACCGTTTTTTTAAGTTTTCTGAGACTTCTGTCTCATTTCTGTGAACACTGGGACACTAGGTAGACCATTTCCTTCTGAAGGTTGTGGGTGAAGACCTGGGTTCCCTCCCCAGGGATGGATCGCACTTGAAGCCCGCCATGGTCAGAGGTGGAGCAGGTGCCAAGGGTGGCATCTTGCCCAAGGACATTCAGCTTGGAAGAGGGCTGAGACTTAGGGCATCTGGCTCCGACTCCGGGTTTGCTGTGGGATCCTGGACAAGCCACTTCAGTATGGGACCTCAACCCTTTATGGGGAGCTCATGGGCTCCTCCCAGTATGCCTCCTAATGGGGGCCTTGGGCCCCACTGCCCCTCAGGTCCCCAGAAACCCAGCTCCCATCCCACCATCTCCCTCCCCACACCCCTCCAGGCAAAGGTAAGACCAGTCAAAAGAAGGGCGCAAAGGTATGGAGCAGCCAGACCCCATCCTACTAAAGAGGGGACAAATGGGCCTGTGCGCGCATGGGCGTGGGGAGGCCCTTCCCGGTGACAGGGTCCTCACCATCTCCACCTTAGATAGGCCTTGAGGACTCTCAGAAACCCAGAAAGTCAAAATTAGCACTTGAATGGCCTTCAAGCTTGAGATCAAGGAAAGGCAAGAAGGGAGTGGGGTGTGCCCCAAATCTCCCGCTCCCAGGGGCCGACAGGCAGCTGGCCAGAGCACACAGACCGCCAGGCCCTGGACTGGCTAGCCCGCGTCTGCCCTCCCCCACGATGCCGACTCCCCACGCCCCTGCTTCCTGGGGGCCTCTCACAGCCTGGTCTTGGGGAAGAGGATGCAGCACGATGTATGTAACAGGATTTCAGTAGGAGCTGGGGTATCCCTGACACCATAGAGAACATTCTCTTAAGCCCTCCTGCATGGAGCGGGAGGGGGGCGTGAATACCAAAGGTCAAGCTGCTATTCCTGGCACTGGGCTGTAGGAGGCAGGCTGGGTCGGGTTTCCACAGACATGGCCTCCCCTCAATCTTTCTCCTCACCTGCTCCTTTTCTCAGGATGTCTACAATTTAGAACACTCTAGAAACCAAACAGCTAATGTGTTTCCAAACCTCAACTTCAGTCTGGCCAGAGTTCATGTCAGATCAAGGAGTCAAAGGATGGCACCACCAAAGGTCACGGCCACTAGGGCGGGGACAAGGTCCTAGTTTTATCACTGGGCTATTTCTGTAGGCTGCTTGCCTTGACCTTTAGGTATTTTTCTGTGGCCTTGCTCCCAGGACTGGAAGGGTTGATGCAAGCAGATGGCTCTGTGGCCCACAATGGCCATGGTGTCTGCTGTGTGGACAAGCTGGGGACAGAGGGGCTGAGGATGCCTGCTTCTCCACACAGGGATGTCAGACCAGGCCATCATGGAGCTGAACCTGCCCACAGGGATCCCCATTGTATATGAGCTGGACCAGGCGCTGAAACCCACCAAGCCCATGCGGTTCCTGGGTGACGAGGAGACAGTGCGGAAGGCCATGGAGGCTGTGGCGGCCCAGGGCAAGGCCAAGTGAGGGGTGGGCTTGGGGCAATAAAGACACCTCCTCCCAGTGCCTTGAGTCCAGCGTGGCCAGGGCAGCTTACCCAGTTCGCCCCCACCATTAGCTGTAGGGACCTCAGGGAACAGAGGCACAGCTATCCCCCCAAACCCATGTCACCAGGAGCTGTGTCCACCCCAGGAATCTGCACTCTAAACAAGACCCTATGGTGACCCTGCTCTAGAATCAGGGTGCTTGGGGCTACTTAGGGAGAAGAGCCCGAGTGACCCAGCCCTCCCCACAGGGAACAAGGACCACAGCCAGGACACTGCTTTCAGCCAGCTGTCCCTGCAACTCCCAGAGTGGCACCTTGAGCCCCAGGGACAGACAAGCCTGCAGGTGGCTTGAAAGCTAGCAACACCCCAGACTCATGGGGCCTCTACAGCTGGGGTGGGCCTGCCTAGGACATGCTGGCAAGAAATGGGAGAGGCCTGAGGAGCAGGTGGAATGTGAGCCCTCAGCACAGCCTCCACCCTAGGCGGCTAGCATGTGAAGATGGGAGTCGAGCATGTCTGCCTAGCACCTCCTGGGGCACATGAGGGACCTAATTCCCCTGGGGCTCGGTGGGTGCCAGGCACCTCACTCCACACTTGCGCATGGGCAGAGGCTCCTTGAGGCAGGGAGCGGGGTGGCCCTTGGTCTCTCCCAGAGGAACTGAAATGCAGGATAGCTCCAACTTCAGTCACATCCTAAAGTTTATGCCCCTCCAGGTGGCAGATCAGCGGCTGCGGTGGTCTGAGGGTTTGTGTGCTCACACCCACGTGCACACACACGTGCACACCCCAGGCACAGAGCTGGCTTCCACATGGGAGCATTCAGGCTACAGCAGGGCAGGTCAGAGCTGGGAGCCTGTGGGGACCAAACTGCAATTCTTAGACCAAAAGCAGGTTTCTTCTTCAGATGGGCTAGGACAGAAAATTTGGGGGATGGAAGGGGGTTGGGAGAGGGCAGCAGACAAAGACCCCTGCTGAAGCCAGAATCAGCATGAGGCACACGGGGGCCGGCAGACAGTGAGCCACACCGAAGGACATGCTGTGTCTGCTGTTGTTTTCACAAACCCAGAGACAGGAGCTGGGTCATCTGGTCCCCACTTCCCACAGCCAGGCAGAGGGATAGGGAAATGGAGCGGGGAGCACAGAGCAGGCTCCCAGACGACCTACCTGCTGTCAAGACTGACAGATCCACTCTGACTCTAACTTTGGTCATAAACTCTGCTAAGAGCAATTCTCTAAGTTCATTGTTCCCAAGGGTCCATTCTAAACAGCTGTAGCCACCACCCCTTAGAAGCAAGAGAAAAAGAAAAAAGGCAAATGCAGGAGGCAGCCTGGAGCATGGATGTGCCTCCAGATGCCCTGCTAAGATCCCCCAGCCTGCCAGTGGCTGCTCTCCTTGGTGGAAGTCACCAAGGGGCTGGCCGCAGGCGGGGCCTGGCTAATATCCTTCTGGGGACAAGGGCCAGGCTGGCTGGGAGGATCTGGGGGGCTGCAGGAAGCATGTTTGGGAATCGCCAGGTTATTGCTGCATGTGGGGTGACAGAGACTGAGCCACCCAGGCCAGAGGGAGCCCTGAGGCCTCATCTTCATCATGGGTCCCATTCCTGGAAGAGTGCCAAACATCAACTCTCAGGCCTCCTCTTCCAGCAACAAGGAAGCCACATCTGGGTGGGGAGGGAAAGACGGCCCTCAGCCTCACTCGATGAGCTCCACGTAGTTGGCAGGGAACATGCCAAAGTGGCCATCTGGCCCGTAACCACGCCACCAGCCTTCATCGATCACCTCGATGCCCGTGATGAGGTTCTCAGGGTCAAAGGAGATCTCTGTGTCGTCAGCTGCAAGGAGGGTGAGCTCAGGTGCTGTGTCAGGACTCTACGACCCCCACCCCACCTACTCTGGCAGCCCAGCAGCTCCACTGCTCCGACAGTAGGGCTCACTGAGGCCACTGCCATCCCGCTGGGCCTTTGCCTGCGAGGGCTGCACCCTGTGACGCTGTTGCAGCGGCCACTCTCCCAGGGCAACCTTTCTACAGAGCTTTCTGCAAAAGGCTGGAGGAAATACCTGCCAGCCTGCTCCCCATCCAGGGACTTCTGGGGAACCAGCATCCAGGCCTGGTCCACCTCTCTGGTCATACCTCCAGGTTGTACAACAAGATGGCAACTGGGATTCACACCAGTGGACAGCGAGTAGCTGCCCAGAGCACACAGGGAGGCCTGGGCTGTGCAAGACAGAAGCTCCAGAGCCATGGTTATCCCTACTCCAGAGGTGCTTCCACTTCCAAATTTGTCTCCCACCATCCCAGCCCCCTCCCCCAAACCCCAGACCCTCTTGTCTCCTAACCTCTTGTCTGTGGTGGCTGGACTGGGGCACCTTACCTGCCTGGTAGTCATACAGGGCCCGGGCACAGAGACCTTGCCCACTGAGCCCCTGACCCTGTGTGTAGTGGTCAACATGCTCAGAGCCAGCACCTTCCTGCTGCACCTGCCCGGGGACAAGAAAGATGTTACCCCAGACTCAACCCCATACCACTACCTGCCCTCCCTTGCACAGCTCAGTTGTGTGTGTGTGTGGGGGGGGGGACAGCACTGGGAGGGTGAGCAGCCCTACGGGCCCTGCCCCAGCCCTACAGCACGGCAGTCTCCCCAACATTGCAAATCCCCCAGGCTGTGAACCACAAGGCACTCTTTACACCTAGCATCTGCCAGAGAACTTGTGGCACAGGGCAGCTCCAAAAATTACAGGAGATAAACCACATGTGCTTTAAAACCCATCACGGGACTGGCCAGTTAGCTCAGTTGGTTAGAGAGTAGCCTTATAACAGCAAGGTCATGGATTTGGATCCCCATGTACCTGGTGCCAGACACCAAAACCAAAAACAAAACCCATCATGCTGTGCCCCACAAAATGCAGGTGTCCCGTGATCAATGTTCCTGAGTGTGCCTTACAGCCCACTCCCACTGCAGAAAACCCACCAGTGGGGGCTCCTCATAATAGGTCTCCTGCTCTGGGGGCTCCTCGTACACAGCATCCTCTTCCGCCTGCACCAGACACAGAGGCGCACTGGGTGCTGGCTCCTCATGGAGATCTGTACCGGAGAACGTACCAGGTTCTAACACCACACACCCCACCACTGCTCCCCCAAGACCCCCATGGGGTGACAAGTGCCTTGCCTGCCCTGGGCCTTGAGCTGGTGGGAGTTGGCTCTCTGCTGGAGGGGGTCTCCGGCTGGGTGAGCTGCTTTTGCAGGAAGGGACTCCTCAGCTTGCCTGCAAACCCCAGTAAACACACACATTACTCCAGAAACACCACCTGGTAAGTACAGAAACACACCCCCACTACCACCCAGATGCTCAAAGCTCACAGGGGCTTGCTCTGGCTCACACAGGTGCAGAGACCCCAGGGCCATATGCTGAGTGCTGGGTTGGTGGACAGTGCAATCCTGTGTCTTCTGGGGGCCACAGTGGTGACCGATAAGGTCACTGATGAAGTCAAGGGCAGGAGAGGACACCTGAACCCCAGGCTACTCTCCCAGGCATCCCTCCTCCTCGTTCACTCGTCCCTGTCACCCTCTGATTCATGTCACTAGTCTCAGGGGGCCCTATACAGGACCCAGGCCCCTCAGCCCACCCCTGCCTCACCCAGGCCTGAAGAGAGGTCTCACCTGGCTGAGGGATAGAGACAGAGGTGGTGGACATTGCCCTCTCCTTCTGCTTGAAAATCTCCCTTGGGTGTGTGGCCTGCAGACTGGGAGACTCCTGGGGGGAGCACATAGTGACCCCAGCAGTGAGCAAGAACCTCCACTACCCCTCCCCAGACAGTAGCCCCTGACAGAAGCCAAGGGGCTCACAGGGCCTCCCCAGGACGGTGCTGTGGTCCATGCCGGAAGCTTCTGCCCTTGGCAGTCCTCTCCACTGTGCCCTCTGAATCACACAGATGTGCCCCAGTTCCAACCTGTCCCATGCTGGCTTCAGGGCAGCCTCTGCACAGGTCTGGGCCAAACCCCAGCCCAAGGTGTGACTGTGATGGGTCCCAGAGCAAGTTCCTGGAACCTCAGGGAGAGAACGTCCACATCTTACCTGCTCCTCTCGGTTCCCTGAAACCATATCTTGCTGCTGCTCACACGTCCTGCTGGGGAAGGTGGGGTGGGGAGCACTGAGGCTCAGCACAGCCACTCCCAACGTGCCCCCAGGAGCCCCCCAGGGCAGGCGGAGCTCACCTCCCAGGGCTAGCTGTGCTACCCTGCTCCTGATAGCGCTGCTCCCGGAGGGCGGCCTCGCGCAGCTCCCGCTCCCGGCGCTCCTGTTCCAGCCGCCGCTGCTCCTCCTCAGCCCGCCGCTTCTCCTCTAGCCGCCGGTTCTCCTCTTCCTTCTGCAGGGAGAGCCACCGCCCACTCAGCCCCTCTCTGGGACCAGTCTTGCCAGCCCAACGAGCAGGCGCTGGAGCCGCTCACTTGCTAGCTCTGTGGCTGAACCCATCTGCGCCTCAGTCTGACCCCATGTAGATGGAGCGAGAACAGCTGCTCTCTGAGCTTGCTGTGAGCAAGACCGAGATGCAGGAAGCAGCACACGCAGGACATGCACCCGGCACACACAAGACATATGCTCAGGCAGCACTCACTTCAGCTTTGGCCCAGAAGCTGTCTTTGCCAACCCTCTTGATCACAGGAAGCAGCACACGCAGGACATGCACCCGGCACACACAAGACACATGCTCAGGCAGCACTCACTTCAGCTTTGGCCCAGAAGCTGTCTTTGCCAACCCTCTTGATCTCAGAGACGGCGTTGGTCTTCTGGTACACTGAGCCCTGTGGGGACAGAGCAATAGCTGGGGTCCCGGGCCTAGGGGCAGGACATTAGGCCCGCAGGCACCAGAATTCACTGGACTCACAACAATGCAGGTGAGAACTGCCATGATGGGAGCCAGCAGAGGTGGCAGAGCCTTGCCCAGGGACCCTCAAGGAAACGGACAAGATAGCCTGAAAGAGGCCCAGAAAACTGCGCCAATCCTGGACAACACTAGAGGGGTCTGTGGTGGCACCTGGCCATTGTGGTTGGGGACCAGGGCAAGAGAGGCCTCTGTGGCCACCTATAAACTCCTGGGGACCGGGCAGTTCTGAGGCAGGCCTCTGAGGCAGGGGGCCACTCCTCAGACAGCTCACCAGCACAGCAGTGTCCACAGCGATCACCACAGATCCCAACTGCACATATGAGTACCCAGTTCCCAGGTCATCAGCCCTGCCCAGTGCCAGGGCCACAGGCCTGCAGGTGTCTCCTCATGACACGGATGGGTCTTCTCTGGTTTTGGGCTCTGCCCTGATACCACCTGAATTTTCTCCACAGCAGCTACCACCAGGGGCTGTCCAGGACATGCTGGTACCAGGGCCTCAAGAGCAGCTGGGCTATCACAGCTGAGTGTCCCTGAAGAGCCTCTACTCTGACCACACACAGTCTGCTCCAGACAAAGGCTCCAGAACAGCTGGTCCAACCACCAGGTGGGGCTGACACCCACCATGGCTTGGGGGTTACCACCTGTGGAGGCCAGGAAGGCAGGGACCTGGCCAGCCTGGATGCTGGGAACTACACCCTCCTTAGCCCCTGCCCTCGGGCCCTGAGCAGCGAGGCATTAAGCAATAGGTGGGCAGCACTCACCACGGGGGCTTGAGGCCCTGCGTCCTGGAAGCGGCCACTCTCTTTGTGGAAGCTGTAGTTGGCGCCCGAGGCCTTGGCCACCTTCTGCATGATGCACTCGGGCTCCACGTCCTCCTCAGCTCGCGCGTTGATGGTTATGTGGGCCCCCTGCGACGGGAGCAGTACTTGAAAGAAAGGCTTTGCCAGCTCAGGCAAGGATGGGACAGGCTCCTATCATCTCACACAGCACAGACCACGCTACACACAGGACCAGGGCTCAGGAGACTGGAGGGCACCTGTCTGGCAGCTTGGAATTGAGGCACAAGTTTCTCTCAACGGCTCAAACCAACCAACTTGGAGCAAACCCCTCATGTGTCCCAGCTCACGAGGGCCTGCCCTCCACAGTGCACCCAGTGGCCTGTCCTGTAGGTACAGCACATGCCCTGCTGCAACTCCACAGATGGCCCAGCAGGATCTGCATGAAAGGCTTTCCATTGAATCAACGAAAACTAACTTTAAGTGCCATCTGGAAACAAGCACATTTTCTATAAAAAGCAAGCTGCTAATTTCTTTCTGAGATGCCAGACCTGTGACCTCATTCTCTGATCCTATCTACCCAATAAACTTGAAATCCTTTCTTTCAACTTCCAGACGGAGAAACTGAGGCACATCTGAAGTGTTGGCAGCTCTGGAGATCAAAGTCTTGAGTTTCTTGCCAGTAAGCAAAGAAACGAAAAAGTCACTGGGCATGTATATAACAAACACTTTCAATATTTAAAAAGGTTCTATTAGAGCACTGACATGAATCCATGCAGAAGCAGACTGGAAAGGGATGCATCAAAGGGAGTAGGCACACGCAGGAGGTGGGCACAAATAACTTTCTCCCTCCTCCAAGTCCTGACAACACTACTAGATTGTTTGCAGTGATCATAAAACAAAATGGAACCAGGGCCTAGCTTGCCCACTGGCCCAACTGCAGCGTGGTCCTTTACTATCCTGCCCCACGAGGCCAGCCTCCTGCATGCTTGCTAGAGTGGAGCAGCCTCTGGCTGTGCCCTGCAGGCCAGACACAGCACGAGTCAAGGGCACACTGCTAACCCCAACTCAACTCCCACTCACTTGCCCCCAGGAACCTGGGGGAGGTTGGTCCTGTGAGGCGCTCACCTTAAGGAAGTTGACCATGGTGCTGACGTGATTGGCGCATACTCCCTTCCGCACGTCATTCACGCCCTCACCTGTCTGCAACATAAGCACACCCAGCATGACTCAGGCCTCCCCCAAAACTGAGGATGGGGAGTGAGTCCCTCCCCTGGGGACCTAGAAGCTTCCCTCTGTCCCAGAAAAGAGAAAATGGCAACCCCAAAGCAGAAGCAATTCTCCTATGTCACACAAATGAGTACCTGCACCTCCAAGGGGCTCAGGGACATTCTCTGGTCAGGACAACTGTTGGCTTCCACTATAGGGGCATTTCCCAAGTGGATTCTGCTCTGCTGGAGCCCCTGCACTCCTGGGCTCCTGAGCACTCCCTTGGGACCTCTGCTCCATCACAACAACTACCCTGAAGGGGCTAGAATTTCCTGTGACTATGTTTATTCCATTTTGCAGGAATAACTGGGCTTGGGGGTGAATGCTGCACAGCAAGGTTGCAGTTCTTCTTTGGGCTGCAACGAGTTAATCAGCTATTTTGCTCATTCACCAGCTCCAAGCTATTCTGTTGACAAATTAAGTTGCACCAGTAAAACACCGTGTTCCGGATGTCAAGTTAAAGAAGGAAAGAAGACAGTGGAGTTTCCCAGGTCACACCTAGATGAAAACTTGGAACCCTGCCTCCGTGGAGCTCCACATACCCAGTTGATGAGAACAAACTTGGGCAGGCCAGAGTTGGGGTCCTTCACTCTGCAGAAGGCATACATCACTTTCCCGCTGTTGAGCTCTTCCACCATCTCCTCCAGGCCACCCTCTGTAGCATAGTCACAGGAGGGTCAGAGGTGGTCCCAGCACCCCTGCCCACCCCAGCACCTAGTCCACCAGGAAGGGGGCCTGAGCCACCTCTAAACCAGGGCTTTTCATTCTCACCTGTATCAGAATCATCCAGGAAGTGTGTGGGGGGTGTCTAAAATCAGATTCCCAAGCTCCACCCCTACTAAACTGATTTATGACAGCTGGGTGGGACCCTGAGTTTGCATTTCTGACAAGCACCTCAGGTGATTATTTTACTCACACCAGTTTAAAAACCACTCTAAACCTACAGGTAATTCTGGAAACAAAAAGTGTCATTTCTGCTACAAACCAGACTTCCAAATGGAGGATGCCTACGTCAATTTTACTGTTACCTGGACCCCACAAAGGGCCCACAACAGTAGGACCTACTGAGTCACTCCTGCCTGGATCCACATGTCTACTGAGACTCCAGGGCCACCAAGAGGATCAGGAGAGATGAACCATCCACAACCACACAACTGGCCCAGCCTCACGGACTCTCAGAGGAGAGGGTGATGGGGGTGCCAGGATTGGGCTGCTCCCCCCTTTTTTTGGTGGCTGGCAGGTATGGGGATCCACTGTGGGCTCCCTTAAACCATTCTACCCTGGCCCTGGGGCTTAGTCCCCCAAACTTTCCCAGGTTGTACGGAGGAGCTGGAGCTATATTTTAGCTACAGGGCTCCACAGAACCTGGGGCAGCTATGAGTCCCCATTCTGGGGACAGCAACTTGCTGCATTCTCAGCAGAGCCCTGTTCTGTTCCACTGGGGATGGCAATAGGAAAGGAGGTTGCTGATCCCTACAACTCCCAGTCACCCCCCTCGTCATGTGAGACTACCATTCAACAGAAATCCTTCTAGAAAGAGGATGCATCAGGAAGAAGAACTCAAAAGCATCAGGAAGAAGAACTCAAAAGAGAAAGGGGCTTTGCATCAACTGTTACTAAAACTACACTTGCTTGGCCTATCAGGAAGAACTCAAAAGAGAAAGGGGCTTTGCATCAACTGTTACTAAAACTACACTTGCTTGGCCAAGCACAGAACACTCTCCAAGCACTCATTGAACAATGAGGCCACCAGCTTAGAACAAAGGGAGAGGCCAAGCAAGCTTTGGAGGAGTCAGGGGTGTCAGCTGGAGGGCCTGCAGTTCATGCCCCACCATTGCTGGCCAGCCTACTCCAACAGCCTCTGCCCAATGCCAGCCAAGAGCCTGTCTTTCCCCAAGAGTCTATCCTTGACCATCTGTGGTGACATCTCTGGCCCCTGGTTCTGCCTGTTGCTGTTCCATGTCCTGATTGGGGGGCCAGGGAATGTCCCAAGGGAGCCAACATGGAGGTGGGTCTGTGGAGGCAGGCTCAGACTCAGAGCCCACCCTCAGTGGGGGGAGGTGTTGCTGCAGTCGAGCTACGTACGGGGGACACCTGTGTGCTAAGTTCCTGTCCTCCCACTGTGATGGCTGAAATGCCAACCAAGGAGGACTGCTGACGATCACAACCCTCTCCCCTTTGTGTGCCTCACCCTCCTGGTACCCCAAGAGCCCATCTGGGGTCATACTCACCCCCCGTGCCAGCCACGCGGATGTCATTGCTGTTGCCTTCATAGGTAAAGAGAGCCCTGAAACAAAACACAAGTGGGCTCTGTAGCCAGCACCTTGGGCCCTGTCTGCTGTCACTGCACCTAACATGGCTTCCTGTTGCACCCAGGAGAGCTTGCCTTAATACTGTGGTCAGAACCAGGCCTCCTCCTGCCCGCTCTGACCAGCAAGGCAGGTTCTCAGTGGCTGCTATGCAGCCTTGTAAGCTCTGAAGCCAGGACGACTTACCAGGGCTTGCTGGCAGGGACAGAGCCACGGAGATGGGAGCACACCTCCACTCTGAAGAAAATATAAGCTGTGGTGTTTTACAGACTTTCTACACATTCATGTGTGAACTACTCATCTGGATATTGGTAGATGAATTTGAAAAGACAACAGATATCTACATATTCTTGAACTCAAAGCACCCAAAAGGAGAAGGAAGAAGGAGAAATACATGTGTGGGGCACTCTGAAGGCTGCCCAACACTCTTGTGGTATCTGCCCTGTCTTCTATAAGGTGGGCAGCAGGGCTTTCTGGCCTTGAGACTCTCCCAGCAAACATGGATTTTTTTTTTTTTTTAAAGATGACCGGTAAGGGGATCTTAACCCTTGACTTGGTGTTGTCAGCACCACGCTCAGCCAGTGAGCGAACCGGCCATCCCTATATGGGATCCGAACCCGGGGCCTTGGTGTTATCAGCACCGCACTCTCCGGAGTGAGCCACGGGCCGGCCCCAATTGGCATATTTTAATTACTTAACACTTAAGGGTTAAAATCTTAAGGGTTTACATCATGTTGTAAGGAGATTGGGGCTGTGGTGATTCGGAGGATCAGGAATTTCCATCTAGAGAATCAAGTTCATCAGGAAATCGGCAAGATGAAGCCCTGTCCTGCTCCCAAGCACCCTTCCACCAAGGGCCTCCTGTGAGGGCAGATGAGCCACCACCCAGAAATTAAGGGAGAAATTGCTAAAAAAGATGACAAGGTGCTGCAAACACGGATTTTTAACAAGCTGTGTGCAGCATCAGAAACCACAAGGGCAACAACCCAACATGAAGTCACCCAATCAAAACTAACCGCCCACCAAGCCCCTCATGGACAGGTACCTGAGGGCAAGTTTTCTATCTAGTGGGGCCATAACTCTCCTTAGGAGACACTGGGACCATGCCTTTTTCCTCCTGTAAGATTAATTATTCATAAAAACTCTGGAAATGATTCTGGCTCATAAACTTGTACCCTAGAGGTGTTGAGGAAATACAATAAATTTTATCAAGTCTGGACCATGGAAGGTCCCTTACCAGAACAAAGATTACTCAAGGAGAGCACTCTAGAAGAAGTGATCTCCAATAGGTAAGCTTTGTGTGGCCCTCCCCACAGTGCACACATGGAGCCCAGCCATTGACATCACCCCCACAAGCAATGATGGTGGACACGGTGTGGGGGGCACTGATCCATCCAGTGTCTGTCATCTCCCCAAGCTCTAAACATAGGCCTGCTGAGACAGACTGGAGAGAAGCCCCAGGGGTAAAAAGTCAGGCAGGAACTATATCAGCTCTGATTTGGCTTCCCCAGGGCCTTGCCAGCACCACTGCACAGACATGCCTATACCGGAAAAAGACGGAAGAAATTAGACCCAGGCCCAGCAGATCTGGTTGGTGGGAAGGAGACAGAAAACAGAAGATAAACACTCAGAGAAAAGACCACGGAGAAACAAGGAGAAAAATTTAGGAGCTGGTGGCTGTTCAGGTGGAGCTGGTGGAATTCACTGGAAGAGAGAAGCCTGTTCTTTTTGATGGCCACATAGCCCCAGTTCCAGGAATATGAGCACTGGCACAAGCAGCAGAGAACAGAAGACAGCAGCGCAGCTCAGCTCTTCCAAGAAGGAATTGGCAGCTGTTAAGAGCCAAGCACTGTGCCTGCCACCTACCCCTCTGACTTCATCCCTCTCAACCCTGGGCTTCAGTATAAGCCATCTCCATTCCCACATTCAATCAAGTTCTGCCCTTCTGCTGCTAGGGAGTGAAGTAGGTGCAGGAGGTGAGAACAAACCATGACAAGATCCGGGGGGGGAAAGGCACAGGAGACAGGTCCAAAATGGAGAGCTTATGCTAGGGGCTACTCCCAAACCATCTGGCCTCAAGCCCTGGCTAAGTGCCACCTGCCCTGTGAGTGAAAACTTTTACGACGCACCAAACTGGAGACCACCTCTTCCTCTTCTGGTATTCCCTACCACTTTTTCTGTACAGCTCTCAGTCCGTCCTTCATCTGATCATCTACTACATATAACAACCCTGCACCAGGTACCAGGGACAGAAACAAGGCCCAACACAACCCTTCTAGTGAAGACATAAAAGTGAAAAGAAAACCCACGAGGGTTTCTGGCATGTGTTCATTATGTGTCTGAAGGAAGTCAAACAGGAAGATGGGAAAACGTGACTGCAGCCAGGGATCTAGGAGTCAAGGAAGGTGCTATGGGTCAAATGTATCCCCCAAAGTCCATGTATTGGAAACTTAATCCCCACTGTAACAGTGTTAAGAAGGTGGGAAATCCTATTATGGTAATTGAAAGGTGGGGCTTTTAAGAAGTGATTAGATTATGAGGACTGTATCTTTGTGAATGGAGTAATCCATTGATGGTTTAATGGGTGTGGTTCTGATGGCTTTATAAGGAGAGGGAGTGAGCAGGTTAGCTCTCTCTTGTTCAGTCATTCACCATGGGACACCCTGTGTTGCTGTGGAGTCATCACCAAGAAAAAGGCCCTCACCGGATGTGTTCCCAGGACTATGGACTTCCCAGCCCAGAACTATAAGAAATAAATTTTATTTCTTTATAAATTACCCTTTTTTTGGATATTTTGTTATAAGCAACAGAAATGGACTAAGACATAAGGCAATCTCATGCAGAGAAGAGAAAGCTGGGGAGCCACCTAGGATGGTGCAGAAGTATGCTCCAGAAAGAGGAAGCAGCAAGAGCCAAGGCTCTGAAGAGGAACAAGCATGCAAGTATGAGGAAGGAAAAAATGGGCAGCATGATGGTAAACAGGTGTGGCCACAGTGCTAAGTGGGAGGGGTGGCAGGAGCTGGGTCATGCAGGGCCTGCTGGCGGTGGGGAGAGGAGTCTGGATTTATTCAGTGTGCAACAGGAAACCACTACAGAGGTATAGACAGGGAAGTGACATGGTCCAGGTATTTTGTCAGCTAGTGAGTGGGGACCTGCCACACAGTATCTGCTGAGTAACTACCTTAATAGCTGTGACACTGAGGGTGGAGGCTGAGTGGTACGGTTCCTGAGAAGATTGAGGAGGAAGAGAGACCTGGAAAGAAGATCAATTAGGAGACCCAGGAGTCTCCTAGGAAAATCAGTAAAGACTAAACTGGGTGATCAAGAACATGTAAAGGAGCAACACCCATAACTGGACAGGGCTGGAGAGAGGCAAAGACTCCTCTGGGTTCCAAAGCCAGATGGCCTTGTGTGGATGTGAAAATGGGGCACTCTCTGTGGAGATATTTTGGATAGGGTTTAAAGTAACAGGTGGGATCTATGAGTCCTCTGAGAAACACAAGTGGGAATGGGAGGGGGCAGGGTAGGGGCTGATATCTAGACACTCTCCGGAGAAAAATAAGTCACTAACATGGGGTGAATTTCCTGAGGGATTAGAAAGAAGGAAAGATGAAGAAACCCTACCAAAGCAGTTCCAAGACATCCTTCCATAGTCAGATGCCTCCCAAACAGAGGATGCACTGTTTGGCACAAGTGCCATAGGGGGCCCCCATGGTGACTTGGTTCCAGACCCAACAGGAGAGTCTGCAGAGATTCTATAGAGGCAGGCAACTGGTATTCTGAGATGTTCCCCTGAAGCTCGGGGCTGAAAGCAAGGCAAGGCTATAACATCCTCAGTGTTACAACAGTACACTGTATGAAAGCCACTGCATGCTGGGCACCAGGAGAGTGCCGAGGAGATTAAGAGAGCACTTATACAAGCGGACATGGCCCAGTCACAGCAGCAGAGCCTAGCCCCAGGCAATGGGAAAAGGCTCCAAGTAGACCCCAACACAAGGGGCAGACTCAGTTGGGAGGGCCTCAGTGCTGACCACAGGGTGGCCCCAGCATGACCGAACCTCCACGGTCCAGTTTCTATTCCCGAAAGCTGGTCATCTTAGTCGACCATACTCAGCATATTTCTCAGAACTAGAAATGCTCAAAATTGGTCTGTGAAAACAATTTAAGCAAATGGGCAAGCCACAGAGAATCTCCATATATAGCTATGCACGCCCACAGACCAGAGCTGACCCTGTGTGGGGGCTAACCAGGGCCACCCCAGAAACTTCAGATCCAGGCTTCCGGTGCTGTAAAGCCCCCTCAACTGCAGGACGAGATCTACACACTGACACCCCAGCAGAGGATGTCTTAGGATGGTGAAGGGAAGCTGAGACCTTTTTCCAAATAGGTAGCCAGCACCCTACTTTCTTTTTTTCTTTTTTTTTTAAAGATGACCGGTAAGGGGATCTTAACCCTTGGCTTGGTGTTGTATGGTGAAGGGAAGCTGAGACCTTTTTCCAAATAGGTAGCCAGCACCCTACTTTCTTTTTTTCTTTTTTTTTAAAAGATGACCGGTAAGGGGATCTTAACCCTTGGCTTGGTGTTGTCAGCACCACGCTCAGCCAGTGAGCGAACCGGCCATCCCTATATGGGATCCGAACCCGGGGCCTTGGTGTTATCAGCACCGCACTCTCCCGAGTGAGCCACGGGCCGGCCCGCAGCACCCTACTTTCATTTCATCCTATTCTCATCTTCCCATGGCTCAAGCACAGGAAAGAGTACTCTTCCTGGAGATACAGAGGTTCTGAAACCCACATTCACAGAGAATCAGGGACCCAGACCCGTAAAGCCTCCAGGACAAGGCTCACATTCCCAGCCCAGCTGCTCGACTGCTCTCCAAGCAGACCCTGAACAAGGCATTGGATGCAGCCGGGCGTGGCTTCCGCCTTCTCAGGGAGGATTGTGCAGGACCCCTCTTGCCAGGGAAGTCCCAGGAATGGAAAGAACCCGGCGAAGCGAGCAAGCACAATCAGCCCGAGAACACAACACGGAAGTCCTAAAACTGAGCCGGGTGGCGAGCGGCAGGGGGAGGCGCTGTGGGCTCGCCGAGTCCCCCCAAGCCGGGTTTAACCCGTCCACGCACGGGAGGTCGAGGGGTGAGGAGGGTGGAACAGCACCCACGCTGGGCGGTGGGGCGGGCAGGCAGACGAGCCCCGGATCACCTGCGGCGGCGCCCTCGGCGCTCGCGCCCCCCGATCTTCCTTCCCCCGGCCCGCCCCCAGTCTCGCCTCGCCGCCCACCAGTCAGTCGGGGACTTCTCGGTGACCACCCGCACGTAGGCCTCCTGCAGCGCCGGCCCGTTCCGGCTCAGGTTCGCCGCCATGGCCCGCCTCACCGTCCCCTCACCACCGCCGCCGCTTCCCAGCCGGCCGCCCCTGACGGCCGGAAGCCTCGCCTCCGAGGGCCGGAAGCTCCGCCCTTGCGGCCGGAAGCCTTGCCCCTGGCGGGCGGAAGCTACCCTCGGCGGCCGGAAGCGAAAGTGGCGCGGCAGGGATGAGTTGGCCCCTCCCGGCTGGGCGTCGGAATGGCAGGTGGTGCGTGTGGGTCCCGCCAGTGGACTAGAGAAATGAGGGAGTGCTCAGCCTTCTGTTCGCTCGCAGGGTGGGCTCCTGGGGCGCGGCCGAGCGCGTGCTCTGGTCCTGCCCAGCCGGCAGCTCGCCATGCAGAACTGGCTGAGGGGACTCACCAGTCCTGCCCTCTAGTATCTGCCCTCACGGAGCACCGTGCACATTCTTTTTTAATTCTTGTCACAGTTAATGTTCTTATTTGAGAGATCTTGGGTGCATGAGTCTCCCTCCAGATGGACCTCCCCTTCCCCCCCGCCCCAGTCTGTGTGTGGACCCTAAACAGAAGTTTTTTCTAGGAATGAAGCATGCATAAATTAATGAACGCACAAATAAATGAATGCGAAGTGACGATCTCACCACTACAAACCTAACTCAAAGTACTTTTGTGCTTCCTCGCTCTCACCTGCGTTTTCCCCCTCAACAGTTTGGTTGAGGCCAGGGTAGTGGAGGAATGCAGAGAACAAACCTTGTGCTTCACCTCCTCATCTGGGATGATTGGTCCGCCTGGAAGGAACGGGCCCATAATACCTCAACCCGCTCTCTTCCTCCAGGAAGCGTCAGTCCTTTCCATCCACAGACGTGCCTGCGCTGACTGAACTACCTAGAGGGAGACGTGTCAAGGCCCAAGGCAGCTCACAGCTTCCTTTCCTGCCGTGGAAAACAACTGCCCCATCTTTTTTTTTTTTTTTTTTTTTTT